GTGAGAGTTGATGGGGGGAGGGGGGTCTCACCTTGTGTGCTGCTGCAGGTGTGAGAGTTGATGGGGGGAGGGGGGTCTCACCTTGTGTGCTGCTGCAGGTGTGAGAGTTGACGGAAGGAGTTCTCACAGTAGGAGCAGTGATAGGGCTTGACGCCCAGGTGTATGCGCAGGTGCTGGGCCAGGTAGGACGCGTTGGCGAAGGAGCGCGTGCAGTGGGGACACTTGTGTGGCTTGGCTTCGGTGTGCGACTTGGAGTGGATCTGCATGTCCGACTTCGTGAAGAAGGTTAGAGGGCAGACCTTGCACCTGCAAGACACCGCAAGGGGTCAGAAATGCACCCATGCAAGTTAGTCACCTGGTCTGAATCCCTAAATCAGTCTATGTTACAGACTCATTGTTCCAAATCTGTCACAGGATCAACATTAAGACTCCCTATTGTGGGATCTCAGTATCTACTAGGCATTATTATCCCATATATCCCAATAATGCTACCTGGCCTAACAAAGGCAGATCAGGGAAGGGTCCAAGCCTCAAAAAATGCTCTTTTCTAAAGTAATCATTTTCCCGTATTGCTGCACAACGATAGACTGACCTACCAATACACATCAGTAATGAATGTTCATGTTCCCTTTGTGCACAATGAAAGGGAGGTAACTCCAGGAAGCCAATCAAGCAATTACCCCATGCGGCATTTGCTCTTTAATATTAAGAACTGAAAAGAAAAAGCTGTCGCATACCATGGACACAGATTTTTAGATTCCACTTCTGCTCCCAAAACAATATAGCAGTGCAAACAAACAGTGTAGTGGAAATTAAGCAAGTCTAGTATATATTCAATAATCAATTTATTTTTGTTGGTATTCATGGTGTAAAAGAGATGATACTGGCAGAGACCACTGCATCCCAACCTGTAGGTTTTTCCTTCCTTAGCAGCAATGGTGACTGTTGATTGGTCAGTGCCTGAGGCGAGGATGGGGTAGGGCACCACCAGTAGGGGGCCAGTAGGGTTCTCCGCCTTGATCTTCTTGCGCCCACGTTCCATTTTGGGTGGCGGCCCCAGGAACCCTGCCAGACCACCATTCTTGATTGGTTCCATTCCTGGACCGCTGGCCAATCCAGAAATTATATTTGGAGTTGGAGCGCCACCCATCCTGCTCTGGCTGCTGGAGGTGGGCGTGGTGGGGCTGATTGGCTCTGAGGTGCTATGGCTGCCAACACGAGAGGATGGAGCCACACCTGTCAGACACCAAAAAAATAGCATATTGACACAGCAGCACACTGACTGCAGCAGCACTATAAGGATGGACTTGAACAATTATGAGTCCGACCACCTAAACTAGTGTTTCCCAACCCATTCCTCAGGGACCTGCAGACGGTCCATGTTTTTGCTCCCTCCCAGCTCCCTGTCAGATAGTCCACATTTTTGCTCATAGGGAGCTGGGCACAGTGAGTGTGTCTGTGGGTCCCTGAGGACTGGATTGGGCACTGGCCTAAACACCAAAAGGGCACTGACCTAAAACTGACCTAAACACTGACCTAAACTGTTATTACCAAAAGAAACAACTTTAAAATGTAGATGAACCTCAAAAATGTAAATAATATAATCAATAATTCATGTCAGTAAACAAAAGCATTTCTGAGTTTGTTGAACCCTCTGTCCTGGGAGGTATTCCACAAAGCAGAATTTCCCAGTTAGCTGGATAAATTAAGCTAAATGTGAAAACTGTCCAATAGGGAGAGAGGTAAGCAATATTTCTATTGGACAATCCTTATATTTGGCTTAAGCTATCTGGCTAGTGAAGAAATTCTGTTTTGTGGAATAAAGGTTGCACTGGATGGAAAAAAGCCAAGACTACTTCCATGAATAGTAGTTTAGGAAGGAAACCACTCAAACAGAACAGTAATAGATATTTCCTTGATTACAGCCGACTCCTGCAGCCTTAGAACAGTTATACCTACCTCTGTGTCTTTAATGGTTCCTGTTCTTAACATCCTTCTGGAGCATAGTTACTCTCCCCCCCCCCCCAAAAAAAAGAGGTAGAACTGTAGAAGAACCCTGCTCATGGAAAGGCTCATACCAGAAATGGGGACTCGAGTCACTGGAAAGACTTAGACTTGAGGGCAAATGACTTGACACTTGGACCCGGCTTTGATCCAATGACTCCAGAAGACTTGAGGTTCTATTCTTCATCTGGATACCATAACATTATTTTTATAATTTTATTGTAGATTACTTCACAACTGTCTACATTTTCAATTGGTTGAATACCTGTGGTGGGTTTCTGCTGCAGCTTTAGTTATAATCACTAAAGGTAAAAAAAACTGACTCAAATTACATGACTCAACTCAACTTGGACTCGAGTTATAAGTTATTGACTTGTGATTTGACAGCAAAAATGATGGAAAGATTTGGACTTGACTTGGACTTGAGGGCAAATGACTTGAGACTGGACTTCAATGTTTTGACTCAAGACTTTACTCGGACTTGCCAAGGAATGACTTGTTCCCATCACTGGCTTATACATTTTTATAAAGGCAACCAAAAGTAAATACTGATTATTAATGAGTGCTATTATCATCCCTAGCAAGCAATCACTATTATATCACTTTATCCACAATGGCAGAGTAGAACGATGACTAAAACCATATTTAAAAAATATTTATCACCTGCAGATGTCATTCAAGTCATATTCTTCATGAATCTTTTTTTGCCATGAATGGTTTACTAATGATTTAGTTCACTTATCAATCCATACCTAAATTCGTCCACAAAAGACAATATAACCATCTGTTTTATATACTACTATTCTAATAGCACTCATGTCACCAAACACTGTCTAAAAGGCCAAAGAATCGCAGAGTCTTAACCGTAAATGTGTTACCGTTATATCCAAACCGGTGGCTGACGTCTACACTTGAAGCTTCCCTCTTCAAAGTAATCCCTTCACCAATGAACAATTCTGCTTGAGTCTCCAGTCTCTTTATCTTTTATTTATGTCTCCTCGCTCTTGATGTCAGTGAACTACACTATATGAGAAAGGCAGCTCTTGACGAACTTAATTCAAGCAACAAAAAATAGAAAATGCCATGTAGGACAAGACTTACTATTTCAGGCAAGGTAATTAAAATGTCTGTGTTTACCAAATTCCTAATCGGTTGGTAATTAATTAGTTACAAAATAGCTTGAGGCGTGCTATAGTAACATCCATACAACTGCTTCTCCAGTTCATTGTTGTGGTGAGGCTCAACACTATCCCAGGAAGCACAGACCTGGGAACAAGAACCGCTTGGACAGGATACCAGGTTTTCATACTATAGACCCATCTCTATGTAAATAATCACTCAAAGTGCCTTTTTTTATATGGCTATTCTTTAGAACCGCCAATACATCTAATAATCCTAGATATACGGTAATAAATATTACAAGGACTAAACATAACTATTAAAATATTAACCTATATAAATAAGACAATCTGTAAGATGTACTTCCTTGAATTAAAGTTAAGTGAATAATCTCACAGCAAACAAAATCCAAAAATCATTACAGCAGCACTATAGTGGTATGGCAAATGTAGACGCATCACGAGCCCCCAAGTCCCGAATGAACGCGCACAAGCCCTGCAAGGATTGCTTAGCTCAGATGTTTTAACAACCATGCTCTGAGTTTGAGAATTCCATACAATAGTCCTAGTCCAGGACTGCGTTTCTCGAACCTTTGTACTGCTACGATCATTGAAATTTCAAAGAGAGAGAATTCAATACGAAGGCCCTTGGACCAATTATGTGTCTGGGCTAAACCCCTTAAGATCCTAGCAACACACCTGGGTTATAGTGATACTTCATATAGCTGGTTTTCTTAACGCTCATTATCAGAGCCAGTCAACCCATTAGGTGACATAAGATTGCTGTCCGAGTTAGCAAAGCATGCCACATGCTATTGTTTTGGTGATATCGTGGAAAAGATAAAGATTCTCCAGAGAGAGTGCTCAAGTGTTGGGGTGCGAAGCCATAGCTCTGCAGTCACAACATCTTTGTAAAAAGGAGATACTGTGGATAAACATGGTAAAAAGACATCAGTGGTGTGATAGTACTTTTTGCAGTTTAAAGTTCAACACGCAACAGACTGGTGCTGTATACAGTCAGTCCTGCTACAATATGACTAATGCAAACCTCACATTCACGGAAATAGCAAAACACACACATCCAATGGGAAAAACAGGGTTACAGGGAACGCGGCTCCAAAACATAGCAACTTACACCAAACAAATGAATTAATTAATGAAAATAGTGATACTACTGGCCAATAATGCAATTCATATTAAATAAGAAATAATAATAATATATTAATAAATTATATCATAAACATGGCACAAACATGACGGATTACGGTATACGAAGGGGCACCATGCGGCCGGGCATGCACACGGCACAACCGCGACGGATTACGGTATGCGGAGGGACACCATGCGGCCGGGCGTGCACACGGCACAACCGCGACGGATTACGGTATGCGGAGGGACACCACGCGGCCGGGCATGCACACGGCACAAACACGACGGATTACGGTATNCATGCACACGGCACAAACACGACGGATTACGGTATGCGGAGGGACACCACGCGGCCGGGCATGCACACGGCACAAACACGACGGATTACGGTATACGAAGGGGCACCATGCGGCCGGGCGTGCACACGGCACAAACATGACAGATTATGGAATGCAGAGGGGCATCATGCGGCCGGGCGTGCACACGGCACAAACATGACGGATTACGGTATGCGGAGGGACACCATGCGGCCGGGCGTGCACACGGCACAAACATAACAGATTATGGAATGCAGAAGGCCAGTGAAGGTCACATGGCTACAGACAGTCTACAAAAATATAAGTGAATGAAAAGGTTGTGTGTTTTCAGTGTTTCCCCTACCATTATATTAGGAGGGTGCCCCCCCCCCCCAACGGCACCTCCCGTTAATTTTATTTAATTTTATTCTCTATATAGCGCCAGATCACAACAGAAGTCATTTAGTTGTGGAAACACTGTGTTTTTATATGATAATTTGCCGAATATTTTCAGATTTTTGGAATACAAGACTGTAACCTGTGCAATGCATGTATGTACAAAAAGTTTGATTCTTAGAGATCTGAAAACCAGTTTGCTATTCACTAAAAAGAACCGGTTCAAAATAATTTGTTCACGAATCAGACAAAACTATCAATATCTTTGATAGCTGTTTTCGTGTGCAAGTAGTGTTTCTCACAAGGACCACATCGCGCTGTGCTTTTTTCTGTGACTGAAAATCGCATGAAAATTCTGTGAATAAAAATGCGATTCCATGTTATATTAGACTTAGGTACTAATATATCAACCATGTTAGAACAGATCGTAGCAAGACTGTTCTGTAAACTCTGCTAAAACTAAACTGGAAATACTGCAAACTTCTTTCACCACCTGATGCATTGCCCTCCAGTAGAACATACAGAATGAAACCACTTACAGTCACGAACAGCAGCTGTTAGGGTTTCCACTTTCAAGGAATACCGGACAAATGATGTCCCATGTTAGTTAAAAATGGAACACGGCATTTTGCTTTTTACTATGGTATGGATGGATAACTCTACGAGAAATGTAAAATCCATTCCCTGGAATGAGCAGCGAGACAGAAAAATACCCAGCAACAAATCATACTATCAGCATTTTATAGTGTCACAAGGTGCAACAAAAAAAATTGTATGACTTATCAAATTAAAATTAATTTATTAAATTAGATTGCAGTTTCCAGTCTATTCAATCTGCACCCATGCAATTCTAAGGCAATTTTAAGCAAAAATGGAGATTTGAACTAAAGATATAATGACCTGAATAATACCATGATAACGATCGATATTGACTAATATGAAAAAAATCATTGTGATAAAACAATTTGCCGTATCACCCCACCCTACGAGGGGAAATCTGCTGCCCCCCCAGACACCGACATGACAAAATGATGAATAGCTGGACAGTATGGTGGGGAAGGCAGAGAAACCATGGATTATTGCATTGCATGTTTTTTTTTCCTGCAGAAATACCTCTCTGACTGCCGTGAACTATTTAAAAAGATGTACAGGCAGAAATATTATTTCCAGTACACTTATTTTCTGTGTGTATCTTAGAAAGACATTTGCTTCACAGTTGGATGCAGAAGTCCTGGGGATTAAGCTGAAATACAGTACATCCCCAACAACAACCTGGGGGCTTGGCAAACAGTGATGAAGACTCATGTGTTATAGTTGAATAAAGAATCATAGCATTTTCAGCATTTTTTTTTTTAAAAGTAAAAACTCCAGAGGTTACCTGACAGATGATTGACTCTAATGGGTTGGTCTACAATCTGACGCAGATGCCAATCCTCTCTCAGACCTTTGGTTTTCACAGCTGACTTGTCATCCAGGTTCAAATTTATATCACCAAGAATAAGGCCTATGACAGAAAGGTGGGAAATTTACTTGAAACAGACACTTAAGAGTACCTGGTCAAAGACATCATGGCAGAATGAGCATTTCAGCAGTGAAATCCTTGTAAGTATCCCTTACAATATAAAATACTCAAATGTTAAAACCACAAGGAAATCCTACAAGAGAGCAGTCGTATCATATTATGTGACAAAGTAATATAACTCTATCTTATACCTGTCACTGAGCTGGAGGCGGGACGGGCGTGCAAGGCGATGTCAGGCTGCGACTGGCTGTGGGAATGGAGCGACGAGCCCTGCTGTAGCTTGGGGGCTGACATTGCGTGCTGGCCGCCCTCCGATGGCGAACCTGGGACCAGCAAAGGCTCCTGGGAAGGAACCGAAGTGGGAGGCAGGTGTGGGGGCCTGATTTTCTCAGCCATGAGCTGCTCTTTTATCTTATTGATCAGCACAATGTTATCCAGCTGCAGGTCAACAAACAGCAGAAAAATAAAGTACAGAGATGAATATGCACAGCAACGAGAGCAGCTAAATAAAATCATTTCATCACAGAAAACCGCTTCATATGCAATGCATTTTACATATATAAGCTCATAGCCATTTAGTAAATTGATCGCTGTGTCGCTTTCCCACTGCACCAGCTATGGTACTTCAAAGTGTTGGTTTTCCACTGGCACTGAAATTGGTACTGGCACTGAATGACATCACATCACCACCCCAAAATACCAAAACAATACCCCAGCTGGTTTGGCATTTTAGGTACTGGAAGTTTTGGTACTGATTCTCAACCAGAAGTCAGTAGAAAAGGAAAAGTACAGTATCAAAGGTACGGTACATGGTGTGGCAACATCCACACAGGCCCCTGGTTGGGACTGAATGTGGTGATTTATCATTTATCTGACAGACCAGTTATAAAGCCTTAACTCAGAAAAACAACAAACGCCCATTAACAACATCCCAACATAATCCCACAGCAGTCAAACGAAAATTAAGGTGGCTTTTATTAACATATAAAAATAAAACAATAAAATTATAAAATGACGCAGTATTTTGAGCATGCACAGACTTAACATAAAAAATATCATTTCAAATAAACTTTTTTTTTTTTTTTTTAAAGGTGTCTAAAACTTACAAAAAATATTTTAACTTTTTTAGGTATTTACAATAAAATCCTTATTGTAATTACTGTCACATCTAAATGCACATTATTTCGACTTGGTGATACACATCACTCCTCGTGCGTCTCGCCTATCCTCTGCAACGCAAGGCGCTACATTAATCCAAACGGCACTGATGTCTGGGATTCGGTGTCCAGCAGTCCAGCCGATTCAGTGCATGACCACTACTTAGCACTATTGAGGTTGTCCCCCCCCCCCCGCAAGCATCCCGTACTGCAAAAAGGATCCTTGGGGCTCAAACGCAATATGGAAAGAAAGAATCAACAGACCACTGCACCATCACAATATCTGCAATAATACGAAAAGCTTTTAAAAAAAATTCCCAGCATGCAGCAGGAGACGGACATGCTCACCTGGCCAGGCATAGAGGGAGGTGGCGGCCAGAAATAGGGATTATTAAATCGAGGCTCCGCCATCCTGGGACATAGGAGACAAGAATTTTTCAGACAAGGAGAGGGACATGCATTTGTGAGCTTCTCAGGACAGCCATGCCTGAACATTCCTACACTAATTCCTCCCCACATTTCAACCAAAAAACAAACAAAAATATTATAAATAGCTGTTTGGTCAACCTTTGTTATTCCGTAGTTATTCCCCCAACCTTACCTTTATTTAAAGGAAAACAAACAAACAAACAAACAAACAAACAAACATTTCACGCATGACCAGGTCGTTCGCATCACACAGACCAGTATTTCCCAACCACATTTTTACAGGGAGCTGGCAGGGAGCAAAAACGTGGACTGCCTGGCAGGGAGCAAAAACGTGGACGGCCTGGCAGGGAGCAAAAACGTGGACTGCCTGGCAGGGAGCAAAAACGTGGACTGCCTGGCAGGGAGCAAAAACGTAGACTGCCTGGCAGGGAGCAAAAACGTGGACGGCCTGGCAGGGAGCAAAAACGTAGACGGCGCAAACGCTGACATAGACTTACAGTAAAGGCTGATTTATACTTCTGAACAGAATCCACGCCACAGGTAGCCGCGTACCTTACACCGTAACCTACGTTGTAGCATGATGCCTGCAGTTACTTTTCTGGGAAGAAGCCAGTCAAGTAACGCCGTAGGCTATGGCGTAGGCTATGGCGTAGGCTATGGCGTAGGCTATGGCGTAGGCTATGGCGTAGGCTATGGCGTAGGCTATGCAACTACGCAGCTACCTGCAGTGGAGATTCTACACAGAAGTGTAAATCAGCCTTAAGTGTACTCGAATTAGATGCAGTCACACTCTTGCTAGGTATTCAAGTTAGTGTGGGGCACATGCATGTGGAACAGCCCTGGGGACCCCTGTGCAGAGGCGGCATGAAAGGTGATGCCAGAATCCCCTTCGCTCAACTCTGGATCTTTCAAAGACAGATCTCGAGAGCTGCGAGGTCTCCAAAGGCCGTGATTATGCTTCTTCACGCTCACTCTTATTTCAGAAATGCTCAGAAACTTACCCATCCACAGCCGTTTCACAATAAATAAATAAAATACATACATAAATAGATTCCCCCCCCCCTTCCCTACCGCTGAAGCTTTTGCTTCATAAGAATCCTAATTTCTGAGATGAAAACACACTGAAACATTTTGCCTCGCAGAACATTGTCTCCCCTCATTTTTTCCTCAAACAGCAGTAAGCCGAAAATGGCCATTAAATGACTGGTGGTCTCTTTAAAACATAAAAGCTTTCCATTTTTTCCTTCCCATAAATGTGAATAACAACATTTTTGAAAAGCAGGGGGAAAAAAACTGCATAATTACTCAAAGGACAGTTTTGCACACGTTTTTTCATACATGGCCAGTTAAAACAATTGGGATCCTAGTTGAACTGGCCAAAAATATTTACATAAGTTGAAGACTGTGTTATACTAGCAGTACAACTTGGGCACTGGGGCAGATGTTGGACAATGCAGGACAGACTTCACTGTACGCAGCTGGTAACAGCAGGCTTTGAAGGAGAGACTACAGTGGAGACCGTTCTTTGTTTTTCTTTCCAAATTCTCTCCAGCAGGGGGAGGGGATGGGGAGAGGGGGTTGCAGTGCCAGTTGGAGGGGGAGCAGGCCACAGGAAACCCCAATCATGTTCAAAGACTGGCTAAGTAGCCTCCTTTATAAGGCGAATAGCGAGGATTCACTGGCTGACACTAGAACAATTGCATGCTGGGCGTGGCAGCATCTGCTCAGGCTGAACTGCTACCTAGCTGTAGCAGAAAGGATGCGCACTAGAGGGGTGTTTTAACCAAGAGGCATACTGGGAGCTGGCTGGGGCCAAACACTCTCCACCTCTTCGGCTCTCCTGGGGAAATCCAGTAGATGGGAATCCGAGTTCATAAAGGGCTTCAGAGTGCTGGTGTTTGTCCACCCAATTCCTTAATCTCTTTAGCGAAGATATTTTTAATGTAGGATAAAATGGCACTTCAGGGTCGCTAACAGAAAGGCAACCCTAAAAACACTGCAGTGATCCACTGGAATAGGTTACCCACCCCAACATACTCAACCTACCCTTGGATGTCTCCCGCTGACTGCTTTCCAAAACGGCAAGTACGTTCTAGTCAAGAGCGCGTTCTCTACTCAGTTTGGTAATCAGCAGCTTCTGAGTTGATATTTTACTGCATTTCTTCTGTAAAATGCTGCAAGTATACAGCAGATGCGGAACACTGCTTAAAACCCTTACAACATTTGAAAATAAATACCAACAACGTTGCTACACAAGGAGGATGGGGGAAAAACTCTTAATTTGGACATATACATAACCACTGTGTTATGTATACATCAATAATTTAAACTGACACCCCTATCTTATATAATGTCATGTCATTTCAGCGGGTTAGGACACTGTGCCTGTGATCAGAAGGTTGCTGGTTCAAATCCCAGGGCTGGCAGAGTGATATTACTGTTAGGCCCCTGAACAAGGCCCTTAACACCCTACACCCCCCCCCAACCCCCCACAATGCTCCAGGGAGTCTCTGACCCAGTTTTCTGAATTGTACATCACACTGCTGGGTAAATTAAAAGGTAAATTTGTCAAAATTGAACAGGTATCTAGATATCTGTCCAACTCAGGGTAAAAAAAAATAAATAAATACAAAAATCAAGCACAATAATATACTCCACTAATAAAATGCAAGATTATACCAGTCTCCTCTGCACGGAAAAACAAACCTAGAGCAACTGCCCTGAGACGCAGTCAATGAATGAGGAAGATTTAATTAACCAATTCATTTACTTCAAGTTCCAATGAATAATGCAGAAGGAATACCTTGAAGAAACAATCACTGAGATATTACAAATGATTTAAATCTAAAAATATACTTACAATGAATGAGGAAAAACTAAAACAATGACTGGCAAGACTAAGGACTCAATAGGGCTCATGAATAGGACGTAAAACTCCATTTGTTAGATCTGTGGCAGACTGTAACTAGGCTATTTTTTGGGAATTAGGTTGAACTGCTTAAAAAAACTTAATTTGCAGGTCAAAATGTGTAATTACAGAGGCAAAATCACTTATACTTGTGTTAAAAACAAGTTTAAATGATGTCGGAACTAAAGACCCGTGTGCAACAATAATTTCAGAGAAGGAAGAAAGGAAACTTTCCAACATGTCACTGACACCTGTATTATTAATGGAATTAAACCTAAGTATTAAAAGCCTTTGCATTTAATGTATTTACTAATTTTATTGATTTATTAATGATACATTTGTTACTGAATACATTAAAGTAACATTGTTTGGTTAAAAATCAACAAAAGATACACTGAGATTGTATTACAGTTGTATTAAAATTGAACAGTAGTCATTCATAACGGATACTAAATAAGACGATAGAGAATAAATAAACGTGATATCCCACTTAATATGCCACAAAATTAGTTGAATTTTAAAAATACATACATGCTTTGCTAGACTTTGGTACAAGGTCTCAACATTATTTCCATTTGACTAAAAACGCTAAATTTTGGCTGCTTAAAATTATTTAAATTCATCGTTTTATAATAATCTTAAACGTGGGACTTAACCATAAACATTATTTCTTCACTTTCTTTAGTGAAAACTAATTCGAGACAGTATAGCCTAATAACAGCCTGTACATTTAATAACTATCAGGTATTGTTGTCTCATTTTTCAAACATTTATACCATATTCATTACGGAATTCAGTAAAAGGTTTCAATATGGTCAAAAATTAGCCAGGACAATTTATCATCTTTAACAGACAGCGTTGAATATTAACGTCAATATTTCAGAAATATGAAACTATTTAAGTAAAGCCAACGTTATATTAACTAGTTATATGTTTCATTAATCGACTGAAACAATATACAATAAGGGACTTAACGCTTAACACTTGAAAACATATTTAAATAAAAATTTGCGTTTAATTTGTCTAACGGTTAAATAATTTAACGCATATACATTACAACTACAATAAAAGTTATCAAACTTTTATTTTACCTAGCTAGGCTAACTATAAGTTCCCTTCTTCGTTTTACATTAAAACACTATTTGTATAAAGCGTAGAAATGCAATGATTGCCCTGACAAAGAAAACTCGAATTGCCTCCAGCACCTATACCGCATTCTCAGACAGTTTTATTAAAATTTTCAGACAAAAGAAAAACAAAAATGGCAGCCCGTCTTATTTTATAGGGATAGGACGCCATATTCTGCAGATCAAAAAATTTCAAAATTGCCTTTATAAAACGACACTAGTCATACTAAATATAAGCATGTCTACGTGCCACCAGGATATTTGCATTAAGTGCATCAATGATTGTTTACGGAGAAATACGGGTTTGAATAGCCCGGTTTAAAAAAAAAAAAAAAAAGACACTTCCTACAACAATCATGCCTTGCAAAAAATAAACCTGCATTCAAAAGGAGATCGGTTATTTGCGCTTTGATTTCATGAGGAGGCCATCGCTGAACCTTTTATGTTTGTATTACAAGCAGCACACGTTGTCATTATTCTCATAAATGCACATCAATCGTGCCTTTTGCAAACATGCGCTTGCATGTGTAATTTTTGCCATTTCCAACTTTTTGGCGACTAAAAGGACCGAAAGAACTTGCCTGAAAATGCAATACAATCCCCCATCCACGCAGAACTTGCCATATAGAGGGTAAATAACGTATCTGCATACCGACCTGGCAACTCCGCTGCAGATTTCTCCTCTTGGAAATGAATATTATAAAAGGTTGAGATGTTCTTTCTGCCTGCCTTCAATCGGAGTTCAGACCTTCCGGGTCGCCTGCTGTTCACTTCTGGGTGCTGCAAGCTCAGAAACGCGTTAAGTGCCGTATTGTTGACAGTAAGTCGACAGAAAAATAAAATGTTCTAGAAAACATTAACATACCACTTAATAACTCGGCTGTTTTAAGATTTAAGGCGCACCAATAATAGAAAAGGGATGTTATATTTTAACAACTGCCCCGTGTTATAGGTTAAGAGCTGCGAAATAAACGCAGTCATATTTCTAATAATGTGTCAGTGACTCGATGGTGTCACACCATCCTCATATATTTAAAATTTGATTATAATCTCGATGTCATATTCTCACTTTCTGTTCCCTCTATAAGGGCTGACCAGTCGATTAATACTCATCATAAACCGCATAGGCATGTTTTAAATTAAAATTCATTCTTTGAAGTAAAACCAAAGGCATACATAATAGATAAAAGAATGAAGTATCATTGCCTTTTCTACTCGGTATTAATAACAGAATTCTTTCATAAATGCCAATTTATTTTGTAGCAGAGGAGTATTATTACCCTGCAATTAAGCGCTGATTTGAAAACCATTTATGTAGAATAACGGCATGTTAAGGATCAGATACCTTTCGATCGGTTGATCAAAAACACGGTCAGCCTATTTCAAAGAACACATGTGCGGGATTTATACTTTATATGTAGCCTATTCAAACATTTCAACCTGTTGTTATTAGATTCTATTAAGCAAAGTGGGAGTGATAGATTTATTAAGACATTTTCACATATATGACAAATCTCAGTAGACGAACTGCGCCTCAGGTAATAGGGCGGATTAACTGACGTCAACGTGAACTGTCTTCTTTTATGATAAGCGTATTATTATTTATTATACCATAGTCTACTCAGAAAACCAACGTGTTTCAGTTGAAGATTCTAATTATAACGAAGCGGGCATCCTTGTAATAAAATGATATTATAACCCTCCAGTTATCCTCAGACTGCAGTGCACTGAGAAAGAAAGTTAATAAGAAAGACCATTTAATATAATTCAAATTGCAACAGTGTTTTAGGATAGTCGGCGCTGCATTTTTCCCGGAAAACGTTAAGAGCTCGCCATGTTTATATGACAGAATGTAATACGTAAGTACATAGTCGTTAACAAGCAGAGTTGCAATGCATAGTTATCAGGTGACGACACTAAAAACGCGCGCAACTGTTTTATTGACCGAAGTTCATCATTTCTTCTTTAAAAGAAGAAAACTTTGCGATGAAAAGTGTCACATTTGTTTCTTAGTTAAAACTTGAATTCCTTTTTGAAAGTTGTTTGACTCCTATGAAAATGTGTTTTACATTTTGTTAAACAATATACAGTATATATATTGATTTGAATGCCATCCATAATGTACCCCAGGCTTGAGCTGTATACTGCTTAGTATAGGCTCCAGGCCACCCTGCAACCCTGACCAGTATAGATCGTTAGAAGATGATTGGATGGAAAAACATGTTTTGGCAATATTTATTAGGTATATAGTAATGTCACTAATACTGGTGTGTATTACTGTTGTATTGGTTCATAATAGACATGAGAATGGATTTTGGATTCACTTTTGGACTGCCTGTCTGGTTTTTCAAGAGATGTTTTCCTATCAAATGAACACACATGAAGGCAATTTAGAAAGACTCATTTATAGGGGATAATAATGTGACTGGTGTAATTAGCTGTAATTTGCTGCTTTGTTTCTAGTAAATAAGTCATTTTGTATTCCTGCTAAACATTAAAATATCTATCTAGGTTACAGACAAAATAATACAAACACCTAACAACAAATTAACATTAAGGTTCTAAATGGAGCAGGGACACCTTTTACCATGAGAATGACCTCATTCCCTTTGGAGTCATGTTTGCATGTCCTGAATTGCATGTAATGGGAGGTTGGACCATTCCTCAAGACATGCCTTAACTTTTTGAGAGACGAAAGAGGTGAAAATCTTCACAGTTTGTGCTCCTGAACATCCTAAAGTCAACCGATGTTCATATCAAGTCACTGGGGAAGTCATGAAAGGTATTTCACTTCATCCTCCATCAAGGGCTGCCAGAATCCTAGGGGTAATGATAGACTAACTATCCTTTGCTGACCACATAACAGTCCTCTCTTGATCTTGTAGGTTTACCCCGTATAACCTCAAGAATATCAGGCTGAATATGAAAGCCCAGGTATTTGTTACCTCTCAACTAAACTACTTCAACTCTCTACTAGCAGATCTACTAGCTTGTGTATCAGACCACTGTAGATGATTGAAAAACAGCAGATCTGAAATTCACATAATCTAAACATTTACGTCACACCCCTGCTTGTATCTCTTCCCTGACTCCCTACTGGCGTTTGTGTCAAGTTCAAGTCTTTGGTACTGGCTTACAGGTCCCTCAGTGGAAATGTGCCCATCTCTTCAAGACCAATGTCCCATCTCACCCCTTTTGGCTAGCCAATCAGCACTGTTTGGAGCTCCATCCACCACAAGAAAGATGTTAGTCCAGGAGGTTCTGTGTGGTTCCCTGATGGGGGAATGAGCTACTGATTTACATCTGGTCATCAGACTCCCTCCTCATCTTCAAGAAATGCCTGAAGACTCTGTCTGTTCCATGAATTCCTCTATTAACCTAATGCTTCTTTAGATACCCTGAATGGTATGTTGTACTTCTTTTCTCTGAACAGTCTTATTAGAGTCTTGCTTTGTTAGAATTTGTTGAGTAACTCTTACATCAATATTGTACATAGGAATTAATCAGAAGCACTTATGCCTATTTGACTCCTTATCATTCAGTCCCATGACCATTTCGGTAAATTTGGTAATCGGTGTGTGGGGGGGTGGTTCAAACCAGTTATTTTACTATGTAGCCATATGCCTGCTGAGAGTGTGTACAGTACCAGTGAAAAGTTTGGACACGCCAAGCTGCCTTCAAAGGCATGTGATAGTATCACATCACATGACCTGGCCACCTGACCTAAATATGATAGAAATAGTTTTGGAGGAGATTGGCCAGAGAGTGAAAGGTAAGTGGCTAATGAGTGCTCAGCATATGTTAGACCTCCTTCAGGACAGCTGGAACAGCGTCCCAGGAGGCCACCTCATGTAACTGGCATAGAGGAGACAGTAAGGTCAGCCAGTCCTTGGAGCAAAAGGGCTCAATGGTGGGATCATTCTGCCAACCACAGGATTTGAACCAGAGTCCCAACCCACAGAGCTGGACAAAACCCTCTGTAAAATGTAATTGTGGCGTTTGCAACATAGGGTTATATGGCTGTTATATGATCATGTAATGCAATCATTGGGCTTAGTGGCTCCTACAATATAGCAGGCCAAACCATTTTGCCATTGTGAGCTTAAGGCATCCTTTAATTTTCACAAAATGTGAACTCCAATTCAATTTCAGCTCAATTTTTCAACTTAAAATTCACAACAGAGTTGCCCAAAGGCACTTGATCAGGGCGTATGGCAATCCATTTTTATTTATATAGAATAGTGCATGAAAGAAAACCCACAAGACAACGGTGGAGAGGAACCAAAAACTCCCAACTATGGAGAAAAAAACCTCTGGGGGTCCAAGGTTGACTGGCTGCTAAAAGCACTGAAAATGAGCCTGTTTTATTAGGGTCACAGTCTAAGTCCACCCATGGGTCAGTTCTCTGAGCAGGTCTGGGTAAGCGGGCAGATTGTAAGCCACACCCACAATGTCACAGTTTGTAAGCCACACCCACAATGTCACAGTTTCATTGGACTGCACCAGTGCTGCAGCTCAGATGGAGACATGGGGAGGAAAGCAATAACATGGGTGATCAGAACAAATAGAAACACATTGATGGACAAACACAGTAGACCAAAAGGGCATGTACAGCAGAACCAGCAGCCATAGTTACAGCATGATATGTGTTAAGGTGTGGGTAAACAAGACTAAAGTAAAAGGTCTTCAGTAGACATTTAAAAACTGAGTCTGGTACAACATCTCAAACATGAGCCTGTAGACCGTTCCACAACACAGGGGCCCAGCAGTGGAAGGCTGTAGCGCCAACTGTTACTTTATTTACACGAGGAATGACAAGACAACCTGCTTTATATGATCTGAGTGTTCTGTGTAACTTATACACACTGTTGGGCAAGTTACATTACTTGTTGTATTACTATATTACTATCGATGCCCAACCCCCCCATAACAAGGTGATACAACTAGTTTCTTTTAAAAATGAATCCACTTTATTGGAACAATTAACTTTGTACAGAAGAAGTCAAAAATGAAACTGCATAACCACAAACACTGAAGCCTGTATGAAAAATTATAAATATATAAAGTACTAGTCTCTCCCCACTTTTTAACTAAAGATTTCTCACATTAGATGTTTTATCAAACATTTACAAACCCCTGAACATTGCTTCATATTTAGGTTGATATCGTGTCCAGCTTCCTGTTTTGGTACCTCTGACATTTAACAAAGTCCCCAGTCAGTGCCAAGTTTCATATTGCTGCTGTGCTGCCGTCTCAGATGCTTTCATGAATTCGACGTTATACTTTTTGAGGTTACGACAAAAAAAAATTTGTGTTGTTAATGCAGTATTAGTTGAATTAGTAACTGTAATATTATTAGTGTTTTGGAAATTGTTATCCCTTACACTGCTAGTTATAGGGGAAAGTACTATTACTGTAACACATTACTGAGTAACGCATTATTGAGTAACGCATTATTGCACTGCATGCAAACATGGATAATTTCTGTTACCTAGGCTGGTACTTGACCTTTGAGCTCCTTAAATGTAAGTAGAAAATCTTTGAAGTCAGTCCTGAACCTAACAGGAAGCCAGTTGGGGTTGTGTTCAGACTTCCTGCTCCTAGTGACAGTTCTAGCTGCTGTGTTCTGAATATGCTGTAAGGCAGGGCTGCAGGATTATTTGTTTTTAAATTGCAGTGCATAGCGCTATGCATAGCTGTCAAGTCTCCCGTTTTGGCCGGGAAACTGCCGTATTTTACCCCTCTTTCCCGCCGTCCTCCCGTATTAGTATTTTCCCTTAAATCTCC